TGGACTAATTAATCCATGCCTTCCATCAAAAATAGATGACATGACGACGCTACGGTGCTTAGTCACTGACCATGAGTCGTGGAGTGACTTTGTACTTGAAAGTTGTGATCTCTACTAAGTATAGTGATACCCGTGAGATGGACTCGTCTTTGTGTTGACCATGAGTCGTGGGGCATTTTGATAATTCATTATCATGGAGGTTTGATGGGTTTAATTTGACACTGAGTATTATAATAAGGTCATAATATTGAGGTATATAAGAAAAGTGAGGCAAAACATCTTGAAGGTTGTATAGGGATACAATTGTCAAAAGTTGACTACCGATAAAATATCTCATACGATCATAATATTGGGGTGTGAGATATGTTTATTGGACTTCAAGCCCATTATGAAAATAAGATTTTCACAATTAATCTGGGGTTTAATTAAAATAGTGGGAGACATTTAATATTAAAGACCTTATATTAAATGAATATAAATCCATAATCTGATTATTTTCTGCTTCGTTCATTTTGTAGATATTCTACTAAAATGGCTAAAAATCCAATTGCGAGTATCCTAGAGCAAAACAAACTAACTGGACCAAACTTTGTTGATTGGTTGAGAAACCTTAAAATTGTTCTTCAATCCGAAAAAAAAAAAAGGAATATGTACTTGACAATATCCCTCCTCCTCCACCAGAGGATGTGACTTCGGATGACTATGGAGAGTATTTACGTCATAGAGATGACAATCTCCAAGCTAGATGCTACATGTTAGCATCTATGTCAAATGAGTTGCAGAGACAAAATGAATTATTTGATAATGCGAAAGATATCCTTAATAACATACAAGAGTTGTATGGTGAAAGGACGAGGCAAATGAGATATCAGATATCTAAAGAGCTTTTCAGGTGTCGTATGACTGAGGGTTCTTCAGTTCAAGATCATGGACTAAAGATGATAGCCCTTATTGAAAGGCTAACATCCCTTGGAGTCGTTATGGATAACGAACTCTATGTGGATCTTTGGCTTCAATCTCTGCCACCGTCATTTGACACATTTGTAGTTAATTTTAACATGCACAGTATGGAGACTTCTCTCCCAGAACTGGTCAATATGTTAAAAATAGCTGAATCCACAATTAAAAAGAATAAGCTGGTGCTTTATATTGGATCTTCTTCCAAATCAAAGGTAGAAATGTCTAAGAAAAGGAAGAAGAAGGGAAAGGTTCCCGTGTCTAATAAGAAAGCAAATAACAACAAAGGGAAGAACAAGGTTAATCTCAAATTCAATCAAGAATGTTATCATTGTGGCAAAAATGGGCATTGGAAGAGAAACTGCAAGGAATCTTGCAAGCCTGAAAAGTTCAGGTATTTATTTTGTTGAAGTTAACTTATCAGTTAATGATTATTCTTGGGTATTAGATACCGGTTGTGGCTCACATATCTGTAATGAGTTGCAGACGATGGCAAGAAGCAGGAAACTAGAGAATGATGAAACAATCTTGAGGATGGGCAATGGAGCAAGAGTTGCTGCATTAACTGTTGGGACTGTTAATCTAGTTATGGATGGTGGTAATTGTTTAAGTTTGAACAATTGTTTGTATGTTCCAGAAATAATAAAGAATATCATCTCTATTCCAGTTTTGGATAGAGAAGGATATAAGTTTGTTATCGAAAAAGGGAAATGTTCCATTTTCAAGATACATCTTTTATATATTCTGGAAATTTAACAAATGGTTTGTATACCTAATGCAAGTGTAAGCGTCCGGGTCCGGTTTGGAGTAGATCGATTCTTGTC